CAGAAAGGAGGCGGAGTGAGAAGATGATGGAGGCGTTCTTGAAGCAATTCCCAGAGCATAACTTCGACGACGACGACGACGAGGAGTAGTTCTTTTTATTTCTTGTTTCTGTTTTGAATTTCTGTTTTGAATATTACTTTTTAACATTATCTATATTATGTTTTTATTTGAATTTCAATTTTCAATTTAAAAATTTTAATTTTGAATTTTAATTTTTTAAAAATAAATTTATATAATTTTTTAAAAAAATTAAAAATTACGAAATTTCCGAGGAATGATATTCCTCGGAATATTCTGAGGGAAAACATTCCTCGGAATCTCCGTCGGAATATTCTCAGGAATACCATCCCTCGGATTATTCCGAGGAATACATTTCCTCGGAATTTACCGAGAGATTGAAGTCCTCGGAATATTCCGACGGATGGCTTCCTGGGAATATTCCGAGTAGTTTCTTCCCTCGGAAATTTTCGTTGAAATTCCGACAAACGGTTCCATCGGAAAACATCCTCGGAATGTCCTCGGAATATTGTCCGTCGGAATGTCCTCGGAATATTCCCAGGAAATTCCGACGAAAACTGCGATTCCGAGGAGATTTTTCCGAGGAAAATTTTTTTCGGAATATCGTCGGAATCGCCTGATTCCGACGACATTCCGAGGAAATCGTCCCTAGGAATCGATGTGTTTTCTTGTAGTGTAGGATCCGCAATAAGTGAGCAGATTTCTTATCTAAGGAAGCTAGACGAGGCGTTCTCTTCTCCCACATAAGTCATATAGGGTCAGATAAAGGTGTTCCCAGGAACATTGTTACCATGGACCAAAATTTGATTAATAGAGTGGGTTATTGACAGAAAAAAAGTTATTCTTTTCCTAATTCTTCTTTTTTGTTGAACTTGTGGGATCACACATAACATGTCTGGAAAAAGTTTGTCTTGTGTTTGTGGTCACAAGACTTGTCCAATCTTTAGTTTCACACAACACCCGTTGTAAACCGTTTCTCGCTTTGCACGTTTTAGAATTTGCTAAATGGTCATGATAAAAGAAACAAATATCAACAGAAGAATCTTGCCGACTACCTCTGCCTCAATAAAAATAAATAAAACAGTATGCGAATAAACTGAGAAGCTGTAATTTGCTCTTGACATTATCCTCAAAACACATCAAATCACTTTTAGTGGTTACGATAATTTGAGAGCTTTAGTTGTTAGGACAGTGACAGAGTTGCACCAACCTCCACAATTGTATTCGTTCAAATCTTACTTTCTTTCCAACACATAGATTTCTCATCCCCAACCGCAGATAAAATATTATTCTCCCCTGTTGAGATGTTTTTGAATTATTTGCTTTATGATGGGGTAACAGAAAAACTGACTCAACAATACTGAAAATATTACAGGATTTATGTTTAAAAAATTAATATACAATTTATTGGTATGTAAAAATTTTGAACGAATAAAACAAATTCAAACATGAAGATCGTATTAAGAAGACCAAAAGAAAGCTACTCTTATTTTATGTAATAATGGTATCTTTTATTTTCGATTTGAATATGGCTGTTTCTTTATTATCTTCTGTGTAATATTACATTTTATATAAATAAATTAGTAGTTAAAATAAATTCAAACATAAAAATATAACTAATTTGCCGAGATTATGTGCACTAGCACTTCTACGTTACGTTTGCCAAAAAAGAAAAGCACCTCTACGTTACTAAATGCAATTTCTTAAACTAGTTTGCAACTTTGCATGAATCAAACCCTAATACTTGTTACCAGAAAACATTGTGCAAGCACTATGAGCCAGATTATGTGTCATGTTGTTTAAAACACAAAAATATATGAATAGTTGATAGAAGATCCCATAGATTAGTTGTTTTCAAGTCAGATTAGACTTTTTCATTCTCTTAGAGATTCATTAATTTATAGAGTAGTTTAAGTATATGCGCCGATTCTTTCGCAAAAGAAGCACGAACACGTAAAAAATACTTATTCTCTTATGTTAATCATGACACACGAAATCAGAACACCTCTGAAAGTAAACCAACCGACCAAAACATGTAACAACCAATTGTATTCAACCTATTGAGTAGCCCTCCAATCGAATACGTGTGCCGTCAATACCAAAGACCGTACAATCCGTTGAATCATCATAGCTAATTCACTTGCAATCTATTTGCAAATTGTAAGTGGCAAATGTGTGATGTGCGTTTTAAATCTTCCATCGAGTGATGTAACAAAAATAAAATGGACTGCGCATCTTAACAACCACGGTGTATCATAGAGGCGCATCATAGAGACAAACATTCTTATTCTACAACTACTTTTTTATTATTTTTTTTTTTTTAACTTCTATCTCCTCTTCACCCATTGGTCGTCGTCCTCATTTTCCGGGTCGGGTAATTTATTCAAATCAACCCGTTCCAATGACCCGTAACCGCTCTTAAGCCCATGACCATCCTCCTTATCCTCGTAACCACCGAGACTCTCGTCGGGTTTCACCACCACCATCGCTCCGAGCGCATCCACCTGAGCACCAACCTCCGCCGCCTTCCTCCTTATACACGCCGCCGACATATCTCCACCGCCTGAACCCGTGAGACCGGCCAAAAGCTCCGGGAAATTGAGCCTCGCCGAAGGACCACGGAGGTAGAAAACAGCAGTGTCGTAGGCTCTCGCCGCCGCTTCAGGAGTGGAGTAAGAGCCGAGCCAGATCCTCGAACGCTTGTTGGGTTCTCTAATCTCAGCCACCCACTTCCCCCATTTCCTCATCCGTATCCCTTTGTACGGTTTCAGATCTCTTTTCCTCGTCCCCATCCCCATCGTCGCCGCCGTTACTTTCGCTCCCGTCTCCATTGAAAATTCCAAAAAAAAAAAAATCACAGAATCATTGGCGTTTACTAGCGATCTGTGTTTCTTGAGACGAAAGGGTTACATGCGAAGGGAAGAGAGTTTAAAGACGTGAGGAGAAGAAAGAAGAGAAGGTTTGGGAATTCACCGACACTTGGAAAATTAAAACACTTTCTAGCTTCTTTATATTACAAGACAGAGAAGACAACCAATCTCCTCTTCCCATACTCCTATATATATATACACCACATGTGTGTGTATTTTCCACTGTTACTGATCATTTATGTTTTTTTTTTTCTTATTTTTTGTTTTATATAGATTTTTTTAGAACAATTATATAAATTTTTGTTTTATTGGTTCTTTTTTTTATTGGTTTCTTTAACTTCTTTTGTAGGTAGTGTATATATATATGAAACTGGAAAGAAATGTCATGTTATTTATTTGTAACCGAAAAGAAAAGGAGGGTAACATATATTTCTTGCTATTTAACTATATTGAGAAAAGAGTTTGTCCCAAGAAATAAGTGTGATAATTTAAAAATGTATAAATGAGTCGTTTTGTTTTATATCGTTGACGAAAAATGTATGAATAAATGGTTATTAAAAACTCGATGAACGGATGGTTTGCCGAATAAATTGTTTATTAATTACTCCCTCTGTTTCAATATAAGTGTCACTCTACAGCTATGCACACGGATTAAAAAAACAATTAATTTTACATATTTCTTATATAAAAACACAATTACCCATACACCTAACCATATTTTAACCAATAGAAAAACAAATTACATAATAAAATTAATAAATTTTGCATTGAAAACCGAAAACGACACTTATTTTGTAACACAAAAAATTCTCTACAACGACACTTAATATAAAACGGAGGGAGTAATTTGTAATTTAAATTTATTTTATCAAACATTAGTTAACTCTTACTCATCTGAATATGAGCATTTAAAGTTTTAGGGTTTATGTTAAAAAAAAAAGGTTTTAGGGTTTAGGTGGATGTATTCGGAATGACCGTCGTGATAAAATCCATAACTGGTATTAAAAACAAAAATAGTACTGTGGTTCACACAAAAAGATGGAAAATATACTCTTAGTGATATGCAATTGAAACCAAACATTTTACGAAGTTTGCAATGTCTTATTTTGCTTGAGTTCAGAAACAGACTACTGACTGATTTAGATCGGGTTGGGGTAAGTTTAAAGTTGGTCTGTAGCCAGTTGAATGAAAATGTGTTACATGACATGTCTCCCAAATTCTAGTAATATTTTGCTAGTTAACGCTGGTGATAACATAAAAAACTCTGGTGGTAACATACCTTCTGTTTTAGTATATTTGATACTAGAACATTTTTTTGTTGCAAAATAATTGATGTTTTTATTATTTTAAGTAAAAATTTAATACGGTTTCAAATTTATGACCAGCTACATAATAAATTATTATTTTTATTGGTTAGATTAATTTTATTTAATGATGTTTTTTTGTAATTAAAAGATAAGTTATATATTCTCTTCGTTCATATTAAGTGTCGTTTTAGCTTTAAAATTTATTTTATTATAAGCGTCGTTTTATATTTTGAAGGTTAATATAAATCTTTTTCAGTCTTTACTCATATATTTAACTCATTAATTAATAAAAAAAAATAAAATAATGTATTAAATAGGGATAAAATAGAAAAATTAATCATTTTTAATTTACAAAGAAAAACCTTAAACTATACTTATAATGATGGAGAGAGAGCAAAAATTGTATTTTTGAAAATTATGTGCATTAACCTTAAACATCAATTGAAATGAAAGTATAGAAGTTTACACTACTGTTAAAAGTTTGAATATATATATATAGACATTATTCCTACACACAATAATTATAGTGACACTATTGGTCTAGAGTCCTACATTTGCTAAATAAATATTTAAAACTCCCGAAAGACTTTGCACTGATGCAGCTGCGCATTTATATATAATAAACACTCGTCGACCTTTTTCATTGGATGGTAATAAAGTTAGCTCATAACTTTAAAATCAATTTTGCTTTTAAAGAAATCAAGTGAGGTGCTTTGTCTTTTAACTAAGTGCATTAAAATGTATGATAGGGAGGAAGTGATGACACGCGTGTTATTGTTAGATGTTTAGTGAGATTGAATTTCTGAGGACTGAGGTGCTTTGTCTTTTAATCATTTCCTCAATTTTCTTTTATAAACATTCTAAATTTTAGTTTTGTATTTCACAAATGATTAAACTGTATGGTTACTTTTGTCAAATACTTCCTCCATTTCAGAATATTTGTTATTTTAGATTTATTTTTTTGTCATAAATTAAATGTGATTTTAGAGTTTCAAAACAAAATTTATTAGTTTTATATAATATTCGGTTAGGTGTATAGATAATTGTATTTTATCTTAAAAATATGTAAAATTAAATGTTTCTTTAATCTGTATATAACTAAAATGAAATTGAGTATGTTTTAACGTATTTCCGTAGGGCGTAGGTAAATCTCTATTTATATGTTTTTAAGTATTTCCGTAGGTAAATGTCTATTTATATGTTTATAAGTGGTAAATCTCTATATATTTGTTCTTTGGTAAAGACAACCAATCTTAGTATTCTTTTGTCGTTTACAGGTGAATCTCTATATCTAAACATAGACACATTATCACGTTTTGAATTTAATAAAAACTTTCCGCCTGTCATCCTATAATTGACGACTGAAATTCATCCTATTTTGTTATAAATTAAATAAAAGAATAGTTGTGGATTCTTACTTAACTACAAAAATAATAAAACAAAATTAGCTCGGTGGGTAACGCGTATGGTGTGTGACTGTTTGGAGATATAACATCACGTAATTTGACTACAATAGTCCTAAAAAACTTTAAGAGGATGACTGTTCGTAGTTTTTACTTTTTAGAGTGATTTTCAGGATAAACATTTCACTATTAATATTTCTCAAAAAAAAAAAACATTTCACTATTAATAATATTTTTATTTTAAAAGTACAAAAGGCAACTTAAAAATCAAAACCTAAAACAACTCATTCATTTTTTTTAATAACTCATTCATGTTAAAAAAAAGGCAACTTCTAACATAACTTTTTCAAAAAAAAAAACTAACATAACATAGGAAAATATGCAATATTCGCGCAGGTCGAACTGTCCGTGAATATGACCGACATTGCAAATTTGTGATCTGGATTTGCATGGCTGTAAAGTCAAACATAACACAAGCTTTTTGGAAGATTACAAAAACTAGTAGAGTAAAAGGAGATTCTCATCGTTTGCAAATTCAAATAAAATATTGTTATGATCAGGGACCCTTTGATTATGCCACTCACTCACGTATATGGATGATGGGGGGGGGGGGGAGTGTAGTAGACTGTAGACCCAACAAAAATCAAGAAACGTATTTAATTTAATTTTTCTGATTAACATGAGATATTCTAAATATGTTTAAACTAATTTTTAAATAGAGGTGTAGTTCACATATGGACCAAATGTATTTAATTTATGAATAACCATATAGATTCAATTTAAAATAACTCTTATCATTCTGCAAATAAAATCAAAACTCATATATTATTTGAATTTTGTTAAGAATTAGAAACAGCTGTAATGTAGTTATTCGTATTTACATAATTAAGGTGCTAATGTTTCGGACTTGGCTTTTCATTTTGTGCATAGCACAGAAGGAATTTTTTTAATCTTCAAATCACTAATACATCTAATTATCTTTAACAAACGTATAAACTCATACATTTTACATATAGAAGTAAATAATAATCTCTAGCCTCATCTTAATCCCCACATATCATAAGCAATGTAATAGATCGCAAACTATAAACTTGACAGGGCCAGAATCAAACCAGATACAGCCAAGTGGTTCTAGATCACTAAATCGAGAGTGATCTGGCAGCGGAATAGCCCTAGTGGACAGAATGGTCAAACAATATAAACAACAGGGATAATGAAAATGAAACCCTCCTATTATCCTACTTCCAACCAAAAATATGAATGTACTCCTATTTGTGAGTTCTTGCTCGGTTGCTCATGTGGATTGTTTATTTTGGATTGTTAAGTATGTAACAAATCCATGACGAAATATTACCTAAGTGAACCAAAACTTGCTGTACCCACACACTCTCTCGTCTTGACTTCTCTGATTTGTTCCCAGGTTTTCAAAGATAAGAAAATGGTTTTAAAGCATCAAATGAGAACCCTGGCTTTGACAACTTCTCCAACTGCTTTCACATTCCGCCTCTGAGACTAGGCCTGGGCATTCGGGTACTCGGGTCGGGTTCGGGTCGGGTCCTTTCGGGTCCGGATCTTTCGGGTCTAGAAGTTTAGGACCCGATAGGGTAATTTCAAATTTTCGGTTCCGGATCGGTTCGGGTCGTACCAGGTCCGGGTCGGGTCTTAGATAGATGGACCCATTCGGGTAATTAGAATTTATCGGTTCAGATTCGGATCGGTTCCGGGTCGGGTTCGGTTCAGATTCGACCTAAAAATACCTAAATATACAAAAAATATCCGAAAATATTTATATATCCAAAAATATTCAAAATTTTATTCAAAAATTATGTTTTTATTATATTAAACTGTGTATAAATATTAAACTATGCGAGATACAACAACAATTTGTTGTCTCTTAGTGGTTGACCCTCTTACTCTCTATAGAAACAACCCGTCTTCGAGTCCCCCTTAATGCATTTTATTTAATTTACATTATTATTTCGGGTACCCATCGGGTTTCGGGTTCGGTCCGGGTCGGGTCCAAGACCCACGGGTCCTCTACAACAAGACCCGATAGGGTAATTTGATCGGGCCGGTTCCTACCCGGACCGAATTATTTCGGGTCGGTTTCGGGTCGGGTCTTCGGGTCCGGGTAAAATGCCCAGGCCTATCTGAGACAGTAGCATAATTAATGACTTATTTAGAGCAGTTTCGTTCCTCCTTTTATGTAATGTCTATTAGTCAGTCAAGATTCAACAAGTTATAATTAGGTGTTGTTTAGTTGATTTTTGTAAATAAAGTCACAACTCCTACGCAATAGTTTTCTCAGAGACTTATTTTTAAATCTTTTTTTTTTTTTAGTTTTTTCTAGTCCAAACAACCCACAATCACCCACATTTCTCAAATGATGCCAATTTAAAATGGAAGAAAAGGTTTAGAATTTAATGGATAGCTTGTTTCTCAATTAATTTGAGTTTCTCAATATTAAAAAAGAAAAGAAAATCGTGTTTAAAGAAAAACTTTCAAATTTTGGAGAAACTCTAATGAAAATTGACATTATATG